GAATTAGTTTACTCGGTCGTGTTTCAAACGGACACGCAATTCTTATTGTCAGAAAACCCGATGACCAAATTTAATTACGATACGACTGAACAGAAGAAGGCGCGGTTCTCCAGCGACAAACCTGATTCATTACACGCTTTCTCTGCACGGCTCGCATTTCTAACGTTCGGAAAATTCCATTCATTCGCGATGTTTTCTTCTCTCCTAGCCGCGGATCCACGCGTCGCGTTTATTTTTCCTTTTCCAGTCGAGAAATATCACCGACCGAACGTGTATATCAAAATTGTCTTCTCGTCCTCTCGCGGCTGATATCTTATCACAGTTAACTTTAGATTACTAGATCCCCTCGCCTATCTGCTCCCGTGATTTAAGGCGAAAAGGGAAACTATTTATCTCGCGATGCGAATTTCGACGCGAGTACGCCAGATTGAAATACAGCCTTCGAGCAAATATTTTCGGTGACGCACGCGCCTTTTTTTTCAGTAGCGAATTGTCACGAGCCATAAAAAAGGCAACACCTATTATTGTGCCTTTTTTATTTCCGACGTTTTATCGCTTGACGCAATTCCGGAATGGCAAACATCTCGCCCTACGGTTTACGATTCACGGTTCGCCGTGCGTTCGTCGGCTTATCGGTAGAAACGTTAGTTACGAAACTATCGTTAATTCTTATTTTTATTCACACCGACACGGACAGCGATTCTTCAACCGATTCCGAAGTCGTAATGCTCTGTTTCTTCGAAATCCTCGGATACTCGAAGTTGGCCACGTGGCCGGACGGCCCGAAGGGAAGCGGATCAATAAATTGGGTGGCAGCGCGCGGTGTTTCGAACTCCGGACCGAGTTTCCCCGTGTAGACCTCGGCTGGGACCGCGAGTGCCGCGAAACAAGCGAAATTCGAGTACGTAACCTGTTCGCCCCGAGGCTCTCGCGTGTCCACGTTCAAATATATCCTTGCCGCCTCCCATTGACGTCACCACGCGATACCGTAGAACCGCGTCAGCGTCACGAACCGTTTACACGATATTTTACTTCGGTACGTTATGGCGGTTTTCGAGCCAGACCCCCGGTATCTGACGATCTGTCACGGTCGTTATCGCCGGTGGTCGGGCGTGAAGGTCGCCGCGTTCTCTCTTCTCTCGCTCTCCCACCATCGTCTCCCCAGGTATCGTCGTCCGGCGTCGCCCTCGAGGAGCGCGCGCGCCCGTCAATTCTTACCACCGCGAATTCGTTCAACCCGGCGGCGACGACGCGCCTCGTCGAGACGCTAGCGTTCCTTCGCGGAAAACGTTTCTGTCCCGGGGTCCTCCCTTCTCCTCTTCTTTCGCCGGCCTTGGATTTATAAATATTCGTCTCACGATCAGTGTGTATGCGTTACGTGCCCGAGTGAACGCCGGTGATATGCGCTCCCTGTTCTTTGTAAGTAACGTGCACGTCTTTTTAATTAGCGACAGTCACTCCGGTCGAATCGTTCTTCTTTTTTTTTTTTCTTCTTCCTTTTTTAATTGGAACGAGATCCGTGCGCGCGTTCGACGAACAGACAGAGGACGTTTGTTTTATTTTCCGCACGAGAGAGCGGAGCGCGCGACGAGAACCCGGGACTCCGTGAATGGATTATGCATGGAGCGCGCGCAGCACCGCGAGTAATTGCATACATATGCACTGTAAATCTCGCGTGTCTCGCGGCTTAATTGTCACTCCCGCTAAGGTCGTTTCGTTCGACTTCCTCGTGCATCCGTGTTTCAATTTTTTTTTTTCTCCCTTGCTGATCGACGCCAACTAAATTGGAGCATCGGCTACTCTTATTTGCCGGTCGGTCAGCCTCGTATCGCCAGATGCATCGGCCCGATAACGCGCTATCGGTATGTATCGTCCCGGTGGATGTCGATCGATCGCTATCTGTCATTAACATACTTTTTCGATACGCGTTTTATAATAGACGGCTTCTGATAACGCGGCAGATACGAGATTTCGATGTGGCACAGTTCTTTAAATCGAGTACTCCGCTGTCATTTCGTCAAAATTCACTCGACAGCGTCCCAGCCAGACGCTCCGAAAGTTTTAATTATTACCCCGGCCAGTAGTACAGCGTTTTATTATATGTACGTCGGTGTACGAACAACGTGGCCAGGTTCGACTTTAATTGGGATAGACCGGCACGTGCGGTCACGGGTAAAGAGTACAGTGAATTCTCTTTAAGGGGCTCCAGAAATAAGACAAGCCAGGTCTGTTGTATCGCTGTCGGAACACGTGCAACACTAATTATACGCGGTTCGTCCGTGCGCATTGGAATAGAGCGATTTTATACGATTCAGTGAAAACTGATCCCGTGGGGCATTATAATTAGCGGCCGAAGAGTTATTGTTGGATTCCCGGGGATTATTAATGGATCGATTGTCGTTCACGGTTCGCGGATCACGAATAGGAAAAAGATTCAGGTCGGAAACGTACTGGGTCCCGCGAGTGCGAGCGAGCGAGCGAGGCACGTTTACAGGTATGACATAAGACCGCGGTGGGTAGTTCGTCCTTGGGACCAGGGGTTGGCTCCGGGCGAGATTAAAAATCGAAACGCGACGGGAGTGAAAATAGGGGCAGTTGCCACCTTTGCGCTTAGTAAGGCAGTAGTTAGTCTTCCCATGAAATCAGCTTCTAATTAAGGAAGCCCTCCCCTGGTCAACAACTCCGCACGCATCCAACCTATTATAGCCGAGAGAGAAAGAGAGCGAGATTACTCGATTTCTTTGCAGGCTCTGTGCGTCATTAGCACTCCTCTGCGAGCGAGGAGAGATTTTATCGCCTAGAAAATCGGCCGTCGTAATTGGAACGATAAACAGGACTCGGTAGCCACGCTAGACAGTTTTTTTTTCGGTTCCGTCTGTCGTATCGTGTAGCGTTTAAAAATAAAGTTGCGATAACCCTGCGGCGAGGAAGGAAAGAAGTTCGTTTAAAGGTTCGATAAGGATTTGTCGACATCGCCTCTACTCCTCCTCGACTCGAGCGAGCCACGAGAGTGGAAACGCTGAAGGGGAGCTCCGCGTGAAAATAGTTGAACTTGGTAAAAGGATTCCGTTTCCTCCACTCTTTGGTCAAAGTCCCTTTCTCTTGGTTTGCCGCTCTGTTTGCCCCGTATTGACTGTGCCTCTCCAGCTCAATCAACGATATCGACACGTACTCTCGAATATAGAGCAGCCAGGGAAAATATCTGTTTCCTCCGCCGCTCCAGCCAAGGAAATGGCCTCTGGCTGCTCGAAACAATTACTTCGGTTAAACAACGCTCTTTAAACAAGAGAGCCGAGTTATTGGGAAAGAAAGAGAGAAATACCGGGGCGATTCTATTGAGGCTTGAGCGAGAAAAGGGCGCAGAGACGTCGGCTAATTAACACCGTTAAAGAATGCGATCATCTCGGTTAGATCATTGCTGATTCTCGTTAACAGGAGTCTACGGTTGAGGTAATCGTTCAGGTCGGGTGTAATACGATGAAAATAGAGTTGTGAGTAAAAATTACGTAAACGCGTTGAATGAATCAGGTTGAACTTTCGAAGTGAAAATGCGCGCGGCGGCGGCGGCGGCCAGTCGGCTCCGAGACATCGTCGCCGTCATTGTACGATGTGTCGCTCTTGAATTCCTACGCGATATCGTAAATTACGTATTGCGAAACGTCGCGCGTGCCCACGCCGTACCGTTAGAATCCGTTACGACCGGTATTAAAAAAGTGGCCGCAACGATCAACCTGTTGTGCTTATTGTCGTTTTTATAGAACACGAATCGCACGCGTCACGTGTTGTCCACGGCGGGGATCGATAACGGATCCCGAACCGTGGATCATCGTGATTCAGGAAAAGGGTTCATGGGATCGTGTCAGTCAAGTGTCATCGAAAATTGTGGAAAAACGAGTCACACACGTGTACTCGATATACGTGTACGTATCTATGAGCTGTAAGTGGAACTGTAGGAAAATAGCGAAACCTGGGTTAGTACGCGCACGGGCAGCCAGAGGGCAACACGAATCGATTACTACTTTGCTAATGGCTTATTTCACTTAACACGCCTTGCCGTGTCGGATCGGTTCGTGCTCGCTGGTTTGCTGGCTAGAACGCGGTGCGTGCGCGTGTTGTGCGTGTGTCGTGATCCACGGGGAAAGGATGAGGCACCGTGGCTTGGAGCAGTGAAAAGCGGTCGGTTTTCCACGACGATTCGCGATCAGTGCACCGCGTCAACACGTAAACTGTCACCAGAAGGTAAACGGTTCGGCTCTCTGTGCTGCGTCCGTGGCTCTGTCGTCGCTCCGTTCCTTTTTCCGCTGTCGCACGTTATTTTTAGACGCGCACGGTCCGTCGATGTCCGCTCGATCGTGCTTCTGACATAATTCACTCGAAACGAACGTCGGCCGCGTTCGTGGTTTTCGCTCGCCGCGGTACATAACCTCGTCGACCGAGCGTCGGCGTTCGATGACAGCCGAGACCTTAGCTCGCGAACCACCTTTCTTCGTCTCCTCTCGAGCGCCTACGCGTTTCTCTTCTTTCTCTTAGTCGATAATTTTCGGGTTCACTGACTCAGATTTCTCCCGTTCCATCTCCGGGAACCTCGCACGAACGTCTCTGAGAGCGGTGACTTCAAAGTCGCGGGAGAGCTCGCGAGCTTCACTCGCGTTCGGAACCGGGTTTTCCAGGAGATATTGTTTTTCCCCGAGGGCAAATAACGCGCGTGCCACGAACGTCGATGTTGCTCAAGCATCCATTTTCGTGCTGATAACAGCGACCGTAATAGCTTTTTTCGGGGGAATTTCTACGTTCACCGTCATAATTATGAAATAATGACACATCTGCTTGAATAACAGTGACTCACGCGCCATTATCGTATGCTAATCGTTTAGTATATTCACGATCGAAAAGAACAACGCCATAACTCGATCCTGATGGAATGGCAAATCTTAGATGTAAGAAGCGTGTCTTGATTAGCGACCTGCGATGAACGTTTCGTTTGTTGCTTTCTGTTACAGCTGTTGGCCCTCCAATTTCCTGGAGGCCGGTGGTGTCAGTGACACCAGAGAATAATACGAGCTGCTAGCGTGAAAGAAGTGCAGTAGAGGTTGGCTCAGGCCAACTCCAGCGGGACGAGGCAAAATGGCAACAGTAGACGGCCGACCAGCCCAATATGGTATCACTCTCAAACAACTCCGCGAGCTCATGGAGCTCCGAGGACGAGAAGGTGTCAATAAAATCAATAGCTATGGTGGTGTGCAGGAGATTTGTAAAAAGTTATACACTTCACCCAGTGAAGGTGAGATCACATTCCTTCGACGAACAGTCGACTCTTACATAGTGGAATGCGAAAGATGTTCATGGGAGGAATTGGTTTTGTCGCGCAGGTCTCAGCGGATCGGCGGCAGATATTCAACACAGACGGGATACGTTCGGTTCGAATCTAATACCTCCAAAACCACCAAAAACGTTTCTACAGTTAATATGGGAAGCTCTTCAGGATGTCACGTTGATCATCTTGGAAGTAGCTGCATTGATTTCGTTAGGTCTTAGCTTTTATCAACCGGCGGATGATGAGGAAAGCCGTAAGTGTGACATTTTTCATTGGATAAGAAACGAGAGCACGGTATCTAGATTTTGTATTCTGACGCGCGACGATATTACTCATTGCATAATACCGTGATAAGTGTATCGAGCCCCGACATCGGATTAAGTAGAACGTTTCTTGGAACTGTTACAGATTTGATAGACGAGGATGAGTCGAAGTACGGCTGGATCGAAGGAGCTGCTATATTTATTTCTGTGATTTTGGTGGTAATAGTAACAGCTTCCAATGACTATTCGAAGGAGAAACAGTTCAGGGGCCTCCAGAGTCGGATCGAGGGTGAACACAAATTCTCCGTGATTCGGCAAGGAGAAGTCAAACAAATCTCGGTGGCTGACATCGTCGTAGGTGACATTTGTCAGGTGGGTTTAGTTCGATTTCGCAAGCGAGCGCGGTCTCGTTGGACGATACCAGCGCAGTCGTAAGAGCCGGTCGGCCGTTTTTCTCAAATACACTCAGCTGTCGCGAATCGCTGAGGATTCGTTGATCGCGAACGCGTTCCTCTTTAAATTGGACGATGTTCCGATTCAGATTAAGTACGGAGATCTTCTGCCAGCCGATGGTACCCTCATTCAGAGCAACGATCTCAAAGTCGATGAGTCCAGTTTGACCGGAGAGTCAGACCATGTTAAAAAGGGGGAAGGGTTCGATCCCATGGTACTCTCAGGTGAGCAGATCCACCTTCCGCCGCGTACACTGCGAATCGTTACGAAACTCGCTTCATGATTGTCCGTGCGTCTTTTTCAAAGGCACGCACGTGATGGAGGGCTCCGGGAAAATGTTAGTTACTGCGGTGGGCGTGAACTCGCAGGCCGGTATTATCTTTACTTTATTGGGTGCTGCTGTTGATCAGCAAGAGCAGGAGATCAAGAAGATGAAAAAAGGTACGTGAACGAGATCCCGATGAGAGACGGTTCGGTCTATCTGAGGTGTGCCTTCCGACTTTATTTTAAACACTGTAGGATACGATCGGAGTAGCGTAGCTTTGGGGGGATTCGCTCTATCGATACGGAACTGTATCTTGTTCTCGAACAGTTTGCATTGAAAATAATTTGTCGAAACTCGCTGCTCCTCTCGCATAGAGTAAAATCGATTAGAACTTTTTGGCTAGTGATGCTCCCTCGCTAGTTCGCCGCGAAGAGGAGTAGCGAGTGTTTAGCATGGCACAAAATACGTGAAAAATAACGTAGAGTCAACAATCGACGCATGGTGTTCAATTATTATGAATTGGTGTGAGAATATTTTTCTGCAAATTTTGTTTCCTAGTTACTCGTTGATTTTCTGTATTTAGCATGCGTTTGCGATACTTCACTAATGATCGTTCTTTTTAAAAAGAACGTATGATCCGCGGTATTTTACTTTTGTTCAACGGCACTCGTTTAAAACGGGAAGATTTTGTTCGCTGAATTCTATAGTGAGCGAATCGATAAAAGTTGAGTCGCACGTTGATTACAGCTACTATTCTTATGATCATTATTGGCTAATCACATCATGCGCCTTATTCTGAGATATTTATCTGCCGTCTGCATTTGGTTGTAAATGTTTGTACCTCTGTCTTACGTGTTCGTGTACAGAAACCCTTCGTTGAATGACCTTTAGGCATATCTTTTTTAATGTTACCTCCCACTCGAGATCAATTCTTGCTTTAAAAAGAAAAGGGTATTCTCCAGTAAGAGTTGATCTTGCATTATTTACGAAGATTCAATTAGACATAAATCCAATATGCTTCCTTGTGATTTACGCTGTCGTTTACGTCGTGTACGTCCTACAACCTGGAAGGCCTTTTGAGTGTCGTGTGACTTTATTACTGATGAAAACGTGATTAACAAAACGATTCAGCATTGACGAGATAGAACAAACCTTCTGGGCTGTCCAGTTAAAATCATACAGAACTTAGACTTACAGACTGATCATCTCGATTTATGTCGATCGTTTTTAAGTAAATTCTTAAGATCGTCGCACAAATCGAGATGACGATCGACGCTATCGGGCGTCTCATCCTCCGTAACGAAGACTCGCGAAAATACGAGAATGAAATCGGTGACGAGAAAGAAATTTTTTAATACGGCGTAACTTATGACTGGCATAATACATTTTTAGATAGACTGCTAATCGATTTTGTTTTGCATGCGTTTTTTTATCTAGAGGCTAAGAAGCAGCGGAAGAAGAAGTCATTAACAGGTGAATAAAGTACTATCATAAGTCATATTTAATTGTTCATCATTTTTCGGTGTTCGGCATATATTTTTACATGTAAAGAGCACACGCGCGTGTATCGATTTTATTTCTATCAGTCGTTCGATCGTCGTCTATTTTATTTACGCACCCGTCACACGAGTATCCGTTTGATTTTGTCGGGAGTAAAGAAGTTCTATTTTCTTGCCCGTTGTATCACTTTCTGGTTCGTTTACCGCACAAATCTGTACATGGCCTCTTGTACGTGAAAGACAGTTTCGTGTTTTCTGTTCTATCCTTTTGTCTTTTGTTTTCTCATTTCTCTCTTGTCTACTTGGCTCATTTGTTCTCGTACCGTAGTAATCGGAGAAGATTTGTGAAGAAAGCGCGTAGAGAAAAGAAAAGAGAAAAGAAAATTAGAGTCGTGCCTCATCCGTGCTTCTCTGTACCTTCTATTTATATTTGAATTCTGTGAATGTCCTCGGTATAGTATAGTATCTTTTCGATGCATATTTGAACCAAGAGTATTAGCCGCCACTAATAAACGAAGTTTTTGTATAGCTTCTTTAGATCTTTCCGCATTTATTCCTAGCAACGCTCTTTCTCGCTCTCCCCTTAGTCTCTCTCCGCCTACGATCTCTTGTGTTTCTTGACGCGTGGCTGTTCTGCTTATATCGAATTAACACTCGATCATAATTATCTCCTCGCCGGCTTATCTACATTTCTTCTACCCTTTCTTCGATCGGTACCGATCACTAACGCTACTTAGCCAGTACGTCTGTGCCGATCAAGGTTGGGCGTTCAGACAATTGAATCAGACGTAGTACGTCTAGATCGATCTCTTACTCTACTCGAGCAAGATCTGCCCAACCTTGATACCAAATGCAAAATAGTACAAACAAATAGATGTTACGAGAAGAAGCTCGATTCTTGTGAACGGAAAACGGACGGTTGGCTTAATTTCGAGAAGAGGAATCGAGCTTCGGAGAAGGTCTGGGTGAAGTTGAAATTGAATTCTCTGTGTTGACGAAGGAGATGAGGGTGTAGAGATAACCGGAAACAGCCATGTGAGCAGTGGTAAGCACGAAGCCGGGGAGAATCACCACGCGCCCAGCCAAGGAGCCGCAGCTGGGGAGGGAAAGAAGGAGAAGAGTGTTCTTCAAGCCAAGCTAACTAAACTCGCCATACAAATCGGTTATGCCGGCTCGACCATAGCGGTGCTCACCGTTATCATTCTAGTCATACAGTTCTGCGTAAAGACGTTCGTCATAGATGAAAAACCTTGGAAAAATACGTACGCCGGTAATCTGGTGCGGCATTTGATCATCGGTGTAACGGTACTCGTTGTCGCCGTTCCCGAAGGTCTTCCCCTGGCTGTCACCCTGTCTCTCGCCTATTCCGTTAAGGTGAGGATCGATCGAGTGAAACGGTCGAGAAAACGGACTTCTCCCTCTCATTGGATCTGGGTTTGTTTAGAAAATGATGAAAGACAACAACTTGGTGCGGCACTTGGACGCCTGCGAGACAATGGGCAACGCCACGGCGATTTGCTCGGACAAGACCGGAACCCTGACGACCAACCGGATGACCGTCGTCCAGTCGTACATCTGCGAGAAGATGAGCAAGACGACTCCGATGTCGCAGTTCTCCGACATCCCGAGCCACGTCGGGAACTTGATAGTCGAAGCTATATCCATTAATTCCGCGTACACATCCAGAATAATGCCCTCGCAGGACCCTACAGAGTTGCCGCAACAGGTCGGCAATAAAACCGAATGTGCCTTACTTGGATTTGTATTAGCCCTGGGCATGAACTATCAAACGATACGAGACGATCAACCCGAAGAAACTTTCACGCGGGTGTACACGTTTAATAGCGTTAGGAAGAGCATGTCGACCGTCGTTCCGAGGAAGGGAGGCGGGTACAGGCTCTTCACCAAGGGCGCTTCCGAGATCATCATGAAGAAGTAAGAATGATCCCTCCCGTCCACGTTCCCGTCCCGCGCGGAGACACGCTCATGGTTTTCGTTGTGTGTTCGACAGATGTGCCTTTATATACGGTCGCGATGGTCATTTGGAGAAATTTACCCGAGACATGCAGGAGCGGCTGGTGAAGAACGTGATCGAGCCGATGGCGTGCGACGGTCTGCGCACGATCTCCATCGCGTACCGCGACTTCGTCCCTGGCAAGGCCGAGATCAACCAGGTTCACATCGACAACGATCCGAATTGGGACGACGAGGAGAACATCGTGAACAACTTGACGTGTCTGTGCATCGTCGGCATCGAGGACCCGGTACGTCCCGAGGTGCCAGACGCGATCCGGAGGTGTCAGAAGGCCGGTATCACCGTCCGCATGGTCACCGGCGACAACATAAACACCGCGCGTTCGATCGCCATGAAATGCGGCATCCTGAAGCCGAACGAGGACTTCCTGATCCTCGAGGGTAAAGAGTTCAACAGGAGGATACGGGACAGCAACGGGGAGGTACAGCAGCACCTGTTGGACAAAGTGTGGCCGAGGTTGAGGGTGTTGGCTAGGTCGTCGCCGACGGACAAATACACGCTCGTTAAGGGAATAATCGAAAGTAAAGCGACCACGAGTCGCGAGGTGGTCGCCGTAACCGGCGACGGTACGAACGACGGTCCCGCGTTGAAGAAGGCCGACGTCGGTTTTGCCATGGGCATCGCCGGTACCGACGTCGCCAAGGAGGCTTCCGATATCATTTTAACGGACGATAATTTCTCGTCGATCGTGAAGGCGGTTATGTGGGGTAGAAACGTCTACGATAGTATAGCGAAGTTCTTGCAATTTCAGCTGACCGTCAATATCGTCGCTGTTATAGTTGCTTTTATCGGAGCGTGTGCCGTGCAGGACTCACCCCTTAAAGCGGTGCAGATGTTGTGGGTGAACTTGATCATGGACACGTTAGCGTCGCTAGCATTGGCCACCGAAATGCCTACGCACGATCTACTGCTTCGTAAACCGTACGGTCGCACGAAGCCGCTTATCTCCAGGACGATGATGAAGAACATCCTCGGCCAGGCTGTCTATCAGTTGACCGTTATTTTTATGCTTCTTTTCGTTGGTAATTATCGCTGTCACAGACGCACACAAAAACACACACACCCGTTCCCTTCCAACCTCTCTCAGCCCCCCCCCCCCCTGGTCATCTTGAATCCAAAACGAAGAAAGAACGGTGTGGATAGTGTGCGTTTGATCGAGTACGTCCAGTGCTGGGAGGTGGAGGAGAGCGCGGTTTCTCTTTTTGGATTTCGAGATGACCGAGATCGAAGAGGAGTCACGTCCGTTTAATGCTGCGAAACTCGTGTGTGTGATCGATAGGTGATAAGATGCTCGACATCGAAACGGGCCGGGGAGTCGCGGAGGCTGGCGGCGGTCCAACGCAGCACTTCACCGTCATCTTCAACACGTTCGTTATGATGACTCTTTTCAACGAATTTAACGCCAGGAAAATCCATGGTCAGCGTAATGTCTTCCAAGGAATATTCACCAACCCCATCTTTTATTCTATCTGGATCGTGACGTGTCTATCGCAGGTAAATCGCTCTTCCTACCTTTTACTCACCTCCGTCTTAACGCGCGCGAACCAACCAAGGACGTGATAATTAGAGATCGCGCTTTCGAATTTGCGCCTCGCGCGATAACTACGCGGAAGTTAGTTCCAGTTGCAAACGGGGAAAAGCGAGGCCAAATCCTGTTTGCCCTTGGACACGGCATCGAGACTCTGTGATTTTTGTCGACACGATCGGAATTGGTCGTTTCTGTTTTGTTTTCTAGGTAGTTATCATACAGTACGGTAAAATGGCGTTCAGCACGAAAGCTCTCACATTAGAACAATGGATGTGGTGCCTGTTCTTCGGGATCGGCACTCTATTGTGGGGCCAAGTAATTACGACTATTCCTACGCGCAAGATTCCTAAAATCTTTTCGTAAGTTACACAACCAACATATATTCACGTACCGAAAAATAATTACGAAGAGAATTATTACAATTTCTTCTAGCGTTTAAACGATGAGAGATACTTCTGTTCTGTTTAAGCGGGCGCAGCTTGAAACGCCCGTGTGTTTCGAAAATATCTCGCGGTACATTTTGTTGTTTCCTTTTTGCCTCTCTTCAGTTTCTCTTTCTTTTTTTTTTCTACTGTACGTTCTATTGTTTGCTTTTTACGAACGTTCGGTTCGCGTAACACGTATCGTTCTCCGAAAATTATACAAGCATCTTGGAGCTATGAATTGTCCGAACCGAGTTGCACGCATCGCTAACAGAGAATGTAAGACATGGGAAACAGGAGTGTAGCATTTTCTTGCTTTCTTGCATTGTGCGACGCGACAGGAACGCGTTGCATAAAACTTAACGAGATCTCACGAGAGAAAGCTTTGGGAACAATTAACACGCTGCCGAAGCGTAATCATTGAGGCCGTGATTACGAGTTGGTCAGCACGGGATCGTAGCTTTTATCGAGACTTTCCTGGTACACGATACTACAGTCGCCTATGCATGAACCTTTAACATTGTATCAAATAAAAGTTTCTATAATCTTCCGCCGATGGTAGATGGGTGTATACGAATGCATTGCGCTGTTGTTGTTGAGACACAACGAGGGTGCGGTACATTCCGTTTTATACAACTGTCGTCCATTGTTGATAACATACGAGTGTAGCAACATCGAAAAGACGATACCATTCGAAAAGATAAGTATTATCGTAATCGGTATCGTGTGAAGGTGTAATAGAAGGGAGGCATGCATCATGGAACTCGCATCGATATTACAATTAATTATTATTATGATTATTATCATTATATTGGTAGTTGTATTAACCGTAGCGCTTCTGTTTGGTTTATGTTCTCGCTTATTACGAGTCCTCTTTCTATTGCTTTTTGCCCGTTCATATTGTCTCTCACGCCCCACCGCACGTGGTACGTCCGTCTTAAATTCGCGTACACGCTGTTATTTCGTTTTTTTTAATTTTTTTTTGACGATCGATCGAACTACGATCGAGAGAACAGTGCGTACGCGTTAAGCCAGGCGTAGACACGTGCGTTAGCGTATCGCTTTACGTAGCATGCTCCCTAGACGCCCGGATGAATAAAAATCCAAACGAATTGGGACACACTTAGAATGATCGCGCGTGCTCAGCTGTTCCCTCGCTCCCCTCTTTGTAACTTTTGTTAGTGCTGGCCGACCGAACGAAACGTTCAGGGTTCGCTTCGACCGAGAAACTTTGAACGTTCCAAGGCGCGGACCATTTGGTACAAGTGTGCCGCGGCGTCCTAACGGATACTACGTGTCCCCGCGTTCGAAACGTTACGGCAACTGTTATATCGGTTAAAGTTTGACACGTATATCAGTTGCGACGCTGAAGCACGTAGATTTATGGGAACGAGCTTCCGGTTCGCTTGTCGAAACTGTTGCCCGTTCCCACGTCCAGGAGCCTAGACACACCATTAGGCTTAGTCGTTGCATGACTCTGAAGACCCTTCTCCGACGTCTACGTACTTGTTTGTGTGCAAACACAAAAGTGAATAACAATTGAAATAGAGAACGTCGTCCCGATTAATTCACTATACTCGTTTCACGACATCCGAATATTCGACACGACTTAATCTCTACAATGTGTTTACGTTTTCTATTTGCTGCGAGGGATCTCGGTGGCGCGCTTCAACCGAGTTCAAGTTCCACGATTTTAGTTTCTGATCTGGCGATCCTTAGAGAGCCGCGAGAACGGCTCTGCGTTATCGTTAACAGAAACTGTGGTAACTTTTGCGCTTAGCACTTTTTTAATCACCACCACCACCACTACCACCACCACTACTACTACTACTACTACCACTACTACTACTACTACTGCTATTACTATTACTATTACTATTACTATTACTATTACTATTACTATTACTACTATTTACTACTGCTACTACTTACGCTCTCTCGCTGGAGCTGTTTTACGACTCTGCTCTTTCGACAGAGTTTTTTTACAACTATTTTAACCGTCTTTCTTTCTTTCTTTCTGTCTATCCGTCTGTTTCTACTTCTGTCTGTACATTTATATGTGATATCTGTACCCACCCCGTCTGTCTGTTTGTCTGTCTCTCGTCTCTAGTTTCGTTTCCTCTCCCATCTCTATCTCTGTCTCTCTTTCTCTCTCTGTCCATTACACGCACGGAGCCGAAACTTTCTCCTTCTGAACTGGTTTTCTTTCCAATTCTCTGCATCTCTTTCTCTCTGTCCGCTTAGGATTGCCTCCCGATCCGCGAGTCCCGGGTTGTCTCTCGCGAATCGGGAGCAATTTTCGCTGCTCTCGCGTCGAGCGCACTAACGATTTGGAAATCTAAAACGAGGCACGCGTATGGTTAAGCAGGATACGTGATGTGCGCATATATCGTGGGGTGCTTTTCTGTGTGGTCGTCCTGGTCCGAAGCGACATAATTATGACTAAACGAAAGTGTACGTAACACGCGGGGCTCTCGCAAACCTTTTTAACAATTATTAATCTTCTCTGCATTCGCTTGTTAAAGCTTCTAACGAGCCACTCGTCGTAGGACAAAATAGAGAAAGTAGTTGCGGTTTTTTCTTGAGCTTTTGTCACTTAACGAGAATCGTACCCTCCTGACACAGGTAAGGGAGAGGATCTCGCGGTTTAAGCGAGCGATCGGCCTTGTAACACGTAGCCGAGGGAAAACTGAAGTAAAACCGACCGATAACAAAATAATAAAGAGGAACCTGTCCAGAGGAGAAGGGGAAATGTATATACATTATGATGTCACACACCCGGTCCCCCGAATTGTATCAGATCACGCGCGTCTTCCCCTTAGGATAATTATTTTTTCTTTTCAAGAGAATCATTCGAACCCTCTCCTCCTCACCGTCATTACGTTTTCTTTCGTCGCGTTTCCGTTTCTTTTCGCCGGTTCAGTTCATCGTTTCTCCCAGTACAAAAGTATCTCTTTCATCGCCATACACGTCATACAAAACACGCACACACGCATATGTTACACAGTCGTTCTCCATCGACAGATTTATCGCTCGCTTCGTTCGCATTGCACCACCTCACATATCGCATCCCCTCGTTCGTTGGCTCATTACTTACATCTCTCTGTCTCTCTTTCTCTCTCTCTTGTGTGTTCGTACGCGTACGCTGGCTGTTTTCGATCTACGAAGAATCGATCGGAAACGACCAGCGAACGCTTTTCTCTTTCTCTCTCTCTTTCTGTCCGTCTGCTTTCCTTTCTCGACCATCTCCGACCACCGTTAACGGAACTGAAAAAATTGCCAGCATCGTCGACGTCGTTTCGAGAGGTACCGCGATTAGGTGTCCAAGTTAAGGAGCGAGGGGAGTAACCGTATAAAATTTGTTGGTGCAGTGCGTCGAGGAGCCGGCTCTACGCGTCATCAATTCAGAAAATAAAAAAAAAAAAACAAAGAAAGAATCAAAATCTCCCTCTTAAGAAAAAAAAACCAATCTACTTTGATTATAGACAATGTGTAACAGGGATCGAGTGATGAAGAATTGGTTTCATGTTTTTTAAAAACAGATGGGGCCGCGGCCAGCCGGATGATATCGGTGCGATCAATCTCGGAGATGAGAAATTCGACCCTGACTCGGATAAAAAGCCGCGCGCAGGACAAATTCTATGGATCCGTGGTCTAACACGACTACAGACACAGGTAACTATCCCTATCTCTCTCACTCTCATGGCATCACTCGAACGTCGCCGTTCTATCGGGTCCCCCGCCCCTCCCATTTCCCGGGATTAAGAAATTTCGCAAACGAGAAGAAGATACAAACGCGCGGGACTTTTTTTTCATCGACGAAAGAGAGTCGCGTGCGATCATCATCCCTCCCGTCGAACTCGCTTCGACCGGCAGCCCCCGCTGGCTGCCCGTACTTCGATACCGTCTATACTGTGTTTACAACGCCCGTTATATACCATATCATCGCAGCAACAAGTCGTTCTCTTATTTTGAGCCTTCGCGTGCGATCAGCTCGCGCCGTCGACGACCCTCTCGCGGTCAGGACCAGAGGAACAGGGAGGGGAAGATCGAAGACGTCGTTTTATTATTTCCTTTTAATCATCTGCAACGAACGAGATCGAACAGCGCGATCGCTCGGCCTTCACCTCCAGGATCCTCTGGTCAGTTATCCGAGGGGGAAATCGTTGACGGGCATCGGCTCGATCCCGCACATTCGACAAGCTAATATATTCGTGCGTTCTCTATATACTATGCGAACATGAATACGTCCTTCGATCAGTCTCATTTGGTTCTTTACGTTCAACAATCGTTGTTTACCTTGGTTTGCATTTTCATTTGAGTTCTTTGCCGTGTTACCTCGACGATGCGTACCTTATTATTGCGTTTTATCGATCCTCTCGATCTTGCAACACCGCGTCCTGCGTTCTACCACAGAAAGAAAGAAAGCTCCGACGACCAAGCGAAGCTGGAGAGCCGTGCAACTTCGATACGCATACCTCGACCTGGTCGATCCTCTTCAGGTCGTTTCCCCGTTTCCAACGATAGCTCATTCATCGCGTCTGGGGTCTTTCTGAAGCTCGACCAGCTTCTCGCAACCTTTTGGATGCCGCGGTTACTTCTTAACCCTTTATAAGATATATCTCGTTGCACCGACAGACTTATAAAGGGTTAATTGCTCCTTTTGACGAGCAAGTGTCGAGATGAACAATAAAAATTGTGCGAACCGGTGCAGAGTACCGGTGTTACTCGGCCAAAGTAGACGTTGGGTATTTTAGATCTCGTTGAACCATCGATAGATTCCGGTGATTCCACTTTAGCTAATCAAGGGACACTATTTACTGTAGGGCGTAGACGGCTATGGTAGACCTCTCCAGCTTGTGTCAGCTTCAGTGATCGTTCGGGTACCCTAGAACCCGAACGCGTAGGCGTTTAGACGGCTAGTCGTCGGTTTGCTCGATGTAGAAGAACGAAATTAGCCCCCGATTTCACGGACCAATGACTCGAAACTCGGGGAGTGAAGTAAACGAGGGACGTAACGCGAAGGGAATCGTTCCGATGTAAAAAAAACCGGTAGACGGTACAGCGACAGACCTGTTTAGTCGTTCGAACGAAGGTGTCAGGTCTGGACAGTTTGCGAGCTCTTTTTCAAGAATTAAGGAATCGATGCTCGAGCGAGAGTCGGAAAGGACAAGCAAGCAGCCATTCCTCGTCGACGACGCCTCTCGCGTTTTTCCGTTCCCTTTTATTTCGCATTTTTTCGTTCATCTCTAAACTGGTTACCAAAATGTCTGATGAAGCTAGCGCATACTTGACCAAACCGCGGCTCGCGATCGCGTGTAGATCCGTTCTACACCCTCGCGATCACGTCACCGATCACGTATTTTATTATCGAGGTCGCTTACGAACATGCGATTCAAAGTTATCGATCCTCGTTTCACCGGTGACGTCCTCGTTCGGAACGGGAACGTTATCGATGAAACGATCCTCGGTGCAGGAACCGTACGGTCGCACGGCGAGAGGAGTTAAAGCGTGGAACTTGGGTTCCCCAGGACCGATACGATATATCTCCACTTTCTTTATTCTGTTGACTTATACTTCGCTTTCTCTCTTATTTCCTTTCTTCTTACTCTTACTGGTAACGCTACACTCTTTATCCAGCACGGTGATCAAAGAGAAACAGTGAAACGCGCCACGCGCGTCTGCGTATCTCGATGAGAGAACAACGACAAATGACTAAACAAAACTAAAATAGACACCGCATTCCCAAGTGAAGCTAATCATGTAAATTGAATGTGTACTACCTACTTTCAGACGAGCAATAGAACTCTGGTGCAGAATGTATCTGTGACAGGCAGATCCCCCTCTCAGGATTACTATATGGTTAGTCCGCAAGTCCAATCTCCGCACTGTTTGACCGTTCTTGAATATTAATTCTTTATATTACGATTACCGAATTTACTCTTTCTTTTTATATATATATATATATAATCATTTATGTTCGATGGTTTTGTATTTCTCATTAACCGGTTTGAGTTTTTCGTTCCTTCTTACTGGCGCTTTCTGTTTGACGTACTTACCTCGTACTCCTCTGTCTCTCACCCACGCCTTTCACTTTAATTACTGTTATCTAACTTTCGTTTCAAAAACTTGGGAGGTACGCTCTAATTTTTCGCCCATCCTCTTCTCCCTTCCTCCCTCCGGCGTTTGGTTTACATTCGCCGATCGTCAGACGACCAAGTTATTTAGATGAAACGTATTCGTCTACTTAACGCAATGTAAACCAGACCCACCCCTCCGCCTCTTTGACTTCTACATCAATTTTCTCCGTTTCGTTTCATCGCAATTCTCTTTGCGAGCTTCTATTCGCTTCGTTCGATCCTGCTGATGTATTTTTATTTTTATACAAAAAAGAGGCATACGATTCCTTCCCTACGTTTGATCATCAAACGTCTCTCCCTCTTCGACCACGTGTAATTAACATATAACACCTGATACAGAATTTACTTAGTATAATCGACGCCAAGTACAATGATAGACTTGGAAGAATCCTCACGACTGCCTCTTCCTGTGTTTTATTCCTCCCCATTCAATTCGTCCTCCCATCTTTTTTTTTCTTTTTGTTCTTAAGGTGTTGCATGCACGTCTGAGCGTATGTATGTACGTATACAAATTGCCCGTATATACGTGTATATACGCAATCTCTTATTTTCAGTTACCTTTTCGTTTATATCGTTTTCGTTCGAGACACTGTCTTCGTTTACTTTTCACGAGAACATCTATTCTCACAGATTTCTCTTCTTTTTTTTTTTAAATCGATCCTCGAGACATTCTCTGGATTATTATTTCTGAGGGATCTTTCAGTTTCTATACATAATACATGGTGTTTTATCAAACGATTCAACGATCACTTACGATACAAAGATTTTCTGAGCATTGAGAATGAATTTGTACGTGTTTTCGCTGTCTGCTTCTGACGTATCGTTTACATTACGTTCATTTATTTGTCGGGCATAGGTATAAAGAAAATGTACCTCTCAATGTGGAGATAAACGTTTTCATTTATTTTCTTTTTACGATCTTCTGCCACGGTATAAGAAAGAACAGTACATTACGAGATCTTAAACAGACTCGATAGTGTGTAGCTGTAATTGTCAGATACAAAAAGCATCCTATGCAATTTCCTTCTAGCTTCACTCGTTATTGACCTTTTTTGTAGGTAATATTAGTACCTAGAACTTCTATTTGAAGTATTTTACGAAATTTTGACAAAAAAAAATTTTTCATTTTTTTCGAGATTTTTCCAAGGGGTACCCCTTCAGATTTTGCGAAATTTTCGTTTTTTGCCAATAACTTCGAAACCGTTGGACGTACGGGAAAATTGCATCAGACCTTTTTTGTAGAGGACGACGAGACCTACAATTTCCATATAAAATTTCTTCGTTAGCTCTAATAGTTTACGAGTAATTTGCAAAAAACTGTTTTTTCGTTTTTCGTCAATAACTCGTAAACTATTGATGCTAGCGAAAAGTTTTTGTACGGAAATTGTAGATCTCGTCGTCCTCTACAAGAAAGGTCCTATGCAATTTTCCCGTATCTCTAAGGGTTTAGAAGTTATTGAGGAAAAACGAAATTTTTTTCGAAAAGTTCGCGGTTTCGACGCTGGGATGGTCGGATTTTATCAACATCAATAAAATGCCATATAATCATATGTAACCCATTAAATATTAAAGTTAGAAGAAAAAATGCATAAAATCTTTCTTGTAGAGGACTCCAGTGCCCTAATTTTTATTTGAAGCATTTTTCGAAATTTTGAGAAAAATGTTTTTTTTTATTTTCCCGAGATTTTCTCCATCGCAAGAGTCAATCATCAGTACACTTTTCGACAGAACCTCCTGTTCTTTTTTATACTGTGCTTCTGCTGTGGAAGTAGACGTTATATTTTGTCTCGCTTCAAGTATATTTATATATATATATTTTTAATCAACGATCTACACATGGTACCGATCTCTACAGAACGCTGGATAGCGCACTGGCATGGTTCGCTTCTCAACACAGCGAGTAAATAACGGAGAGTATATGATATTGGTTTTTCCGTCACACCAATATTTCACTAATACATATTCGACGTCCTCCTCGTAGCTCGTAAAAGACGAGACACCTCAGAATACATACCGCTTGGTCTCTTTAAATGTTATCGCTCTCGAGATCAGAAGTTCTGCCGCGTTACAGTAAACGGAAGAGAAGAAAAGTAAAAGTTTGACAGTCCATAACTTCGTAGCAAATAACGATGGATGAATGAAACTTTCGATGTCCGAAGTAGAAAAGCTTCCAGTCATCCGACTTCTGGTTCCGGGGATATCGTCGCGTCAGAGTCATAATTTAGACTCACCGGTCTAGACAGCCAGCTGAGAGGTCATTGATCTACTCAGAACCAAATCTAAGCTCTAGAATCCTGTATCTCCGGAACGGTTGGAGATATCCAGATGAATCAAAAACGATTCACTTCCTCTAATAACTGCGAGGTATTTGAAAAATAAAAAATTCTCGGTACACACCGACTGTCGAGCGTTCTATAGAGATCGGTGATCCGTGATCAATGTGTCAAGAACATTCTTCGCTTCGCTCGTTTCCAACAAATTTTTCAACTCCTCGATAACTGAGAGATGCCCTTGAAACAAATGGGGCACCGGCAA